CCCCGGGCAGCGAGCGGTGCAGGCTCTGTGCTACGGAAAGAACGCCGAGGCCGACGCCTGCTGGACGCGGGCGCCGACGTGAACCACGTGGACGCGCTGGGCCACGCCGCTCATTTACGCCTTGGACGTCGGTGCGCGCCCGCGGCTGGTGGCACGCCTGCTGGCGATGGGCGCGACGTGCGGGGGCGTAGACGTGAACGAAGGGCGCGCCTCAACCGCGCCTGTGGTCGCTCCATGATGGGCGTGCCGCGCTGATCGAGGCCCGGCCGCGCCCCTGGACGCAGCGCCCATTGGGGCGAACGGCCGCTGCACTTGGCGTGCGGCAGGAAGAACCCGGACGCCTGCGCGGCTGCTGGACGCCGGCGCCAACCGCGACCTACGCCGTGGGACACTGCCTGCACGGACTGTCGCTTCGACATCGCGCCCCCCGGCCCCATCCGGAGATGTTGCGCCTGCACCCGCACCGCGCACCTCACGCTGCCCCCTCCGGCTGCGCAAATGCCTGGAAGTCTGCTTCGCACCTCACTGACAGTTGTCCTTCGACAGGCGCGGTGGATGACATCTGACTACTTTTTTTTATCTATAGAGAGATATTCACCGTTTCTGTGGGCGTGAAATATATTACTGCTTCACCCAAATGAAGTTACCGAAAATGTCACCAAATATACGGATAGTGAATATCTTTCAAAAAGAAAAGTCAGTACATTTTGACCTGGCGACTTGTCAAAGTCCCCGTAAGAGATACTGGCAAAAACTTCTAATCTTTTTGTCCTTCAATAATTATTTTCCCCAGTCTTCTTTGTATAGAGCGGGAGATTTATCGATGCTGACAAAATTACAGCGGAGCCCGCAGAGTTCTCTTAAATTTTTGTACTCAGAAATAAATAAATAAATAATTCTGCATTACTGTAGTACTGTTATTGCGATTTGCAAGCCACGGAGGCTTTACTACTTCATAAAGACTGAACTACTCGTAAATGTAACTACTCAGATTACTTATATTTTTATATTTTAGTGCTATGATAAAAATGTATCTCCTAAACAAATTAATTGAAAAAAAAAATAAATTAGAAATATATATTGTTGGTTTAAACAAATTTTCGCTGACCTAACCCAACACATACCTCACCATTTATTTTGCACACACAACTCTTTTCAAAGACCAAGATAATAAATTTTTGAATATTTCTCTCAAATGTCATTCTATGCGATTAACATTTTTCTAAGACAAATACAGAGAACTACGTATCTAAACGCTCATTATCCACCACTCACATTGCAGATATTTTCTTTAGATAATCTGAACTGATATGTGCGAATTCACGTGATGCATTGTGTTAACAAAGTTTCTTAATTTAAGAGGATAATATAGGCTATGGCTCTTACTCTTTACTATGATGTAGGAAAACACTGAAATAAAGAAGGAATAATGAATGCATCCAAACTCCCATTTAGCAAAAGCTAAAAAGAAATATTGTAAGTAATAACTATTTTTAACACATTGGTGCGAAACAGTTTTCTTTGCATGTGTGAGCCAGCTATTTTTCTCATTCATTGAAATGATCAAAATATTACAAGCGTGTGCAAAACATTCTGCAACGTTTCAGCGTTTCGTCTGCAGTCTTACACCACTTGAGCGTTTAACGATTCCCAAATCCATCGCATTTTAATCCTTTCATCAAAAATTCATTTTCTTCCTGATTCAACCTCAGCTCGTTGACATCCCTTTCGTTCAAACTTTTAATGTCTCGTACCACTTCCTGTGGTTCCCTCCCTAATCTTTTTCTGAAACCTCCCCCTCCTCAGTTAAGCTCCCAAGTGAGTTTCTCTGATTAGGTATTCAATCCATTTTATCCATTCCTCAAAATTCTCTTTCTTTATTCTCCACACAAAGCCTTGTACTCATTTTCTTTCTCAAAAATCCTCCACTCCCTAATCTTTATTACGACATTCTCTAAAGTAATTACCTCACTACTTTTCCATCTTTACAGCAACTACCCCACTACCTTCCAATCCTATCATCACACCACAACCTTACGTCCTCACACTGTCCCTTCCACAAATTACTTTTCTTTCGTCATATCTATTTTAAACAACAGGCACGTTCTCCTTCAATTTCTCTTCTCAATCTCCTTTTCCTTCCACACCTCTTATACGTCTACTTCTCTTCCTTGCTATACAAAATTCAAAAGAAAACAATAATATTGGAAGTACAATCAAACCTTATCATTTACTACCAGTTGCTATATTTGAATCCATACCGAAAATAGGTTGAACGCTATTCATTTCATTCCCTTCAGAAGTGTTTCCCATCCACTCAGCGTTGCTATTAACTATATCCACCCTAATTCAACCATTTTAAACACCATATTTATAAGCCGATCTTAGAGGCTCTATTCATCCACCGAAAAACTAAATCCAAGCCTTATGTATTCCCCTTCTTGCTATTAAAATTCTCACCCAGATCGAACAATTTTTTTCATTTACTGTTTCAAAGATCTTTGCCTCTCCTACGTATGTAGAACAGAGCTGCTCATCAAATATGTTACAACTTTGCCATTAGATATATAGTATTTGGCGTAAATGGCACTTTTTGGAGGAGTAGAGGAGGGCGGTGTTGAGCGCGCGAGGCTACTGATATGTCATGACTGTCGCCGAGAAATAATTCGGCATACTTTGAAGGACATTGGACAAGTTACGCAAGTATGTGATAGAATTACAAGAAGACCATTACTTTGTACTAAGGGCCACAAGGCGGAGGCGCCGCATGGCGAGGGATACAAGGTGGGGAAACCGCATGGCGAGGGCCACAAGGCGGAGGCGCCGCATGGCGAGGGCCATACGGCGGAGGCTCATGGCGAGGGCCACAAGGCAGAGGCGCCGCGTGGCGGGGGCCATGGGAAGAGGGGCGTTGGGGCCGAGACCGAGAAGGCGAACTGGCATTGGCCGTGGTCGCTGCCGGAGGAGGAGGAGCGCGAGCGGCGCGAGATCGCGCAGCGCGTGCTGGTGGTGCGCGAGCGGCGCGACTTGGCCGTCAACAGCCGGTCCCAGGGCAGCGAGCTGTGCAGCGCTCTGTGCTACGGGAAAGACGCCGAGGCCGAGCGCCTGCTGGACGCGGGCGCCGACGTGAACCACGTGGACG